CAGAGGGTGGTTCACATCTCCCTTTATTCAGAAAAAAAAAAATCCCTCCTAACGTATAAAAAAACCCCCAAAACCAAACAACCCACCCCCAAAATTAATAATTAAACCCTCAATCTGGTTGATTCGACACAACAATGAATCAGGAATGCGCCCCACGTGCCCCCCCCCGCAAAAGCAAGGGGACAGGATCCCCCAAAAGCAATAGGACCCCCCCCGCAAAATCACTTGGAGAGGGTTTGCCCCCCCCGGTCCAGCCAGCTGCTGAATCCAGGTGGGAAAAGGCAGGGAAGGGGGGAGAAACCCCCTCTTTCATGGGGGGGTGGGGGGCAATTCCCCCATCCTCCCCCCACTACTGAGTGCCCACAACCCTGTTTTTCTACAAAAGAATTTTAAAAAAACAGTCCCGAAAAAAAGAGGAAAAATAATTACAAAGAACAAGTGAGGTGCCCAAAATGCACCAGAGAAGTCATTATGGGGGGGGGGGGGGGGGGCAGGCCCCCCCTTTTGGGGGGGGGTCCACAAAGAAGGGATGCACCCCCACTTCTCAGAGGGTGTAGGCGTTGCTCATCAGATATTCCTTGTCATCGCTGGGGCTCCATCCCGTTCCCACCCCCGGCAGCTCCGGTTTTCTCCGGCACGTCTTGAGGGCGACGTCCGTCACATAACCCAGCAAAATGGCTGCCAGGATGGCCAGGAGCACCCCCAGTGCCAGCACTGTGTGTGGGGGGGACACCCCAAAAAAAACACCAAAAGAGGACATTAGGATGTCACCCGTGTCTCCAGGGGAGGTGGGGAAGGGAGCCCTGCCGGCGCTTACCTTTGGTAGAGAGAAAATCGCTGCGGAAATCAGCACCGGTGCCACCGGTATCTTCTGCGGGGAGGGAAACCGGAGTGAGATGGGGGGGTGGACGGGGTATGGGAACACCGGAATGTCCCCGAGGCCGCTCGGGGAAGGTCCCCTGCCCCTCACCTGGCTTGGGGCTGCAGCGTTTCAAGCATTCCTCTTCGTGCTGGTAGTTGTTCTTATTTCCCCGGCAGCCGCCGTAGATGAATTGCCGGCAGGTTCGGTTTGCTGGGCTGTAGTACCAGCGCAGGAAGGAGGCACGGCACGGGCCGGTCACCCGGGGGACGGTGCAGTATGCTGGGGTGGGGAGGAATTTAAGGGAGGGGTATGTTGGGCACAGACCTCCCCCCAGATTCTCCTGGCGTTGCCCAAGGAAATGGTGGGGGGGGGAAAGGGATTTGGCAGCGCCGAGCGTCGCTGTGAGGTTTTACCGTCGTAGGTGGAGTCGGCTTTGGTCTGCTCGGCGCGATGCTCGGGTTTCTTCGGAACTGGGGAAAATTATTTAAAAAAAAAACCCAAACAAAACCAAACCACAAACCCAAAATGATGCAGTTTGGTGGGTTATTTTGGGGTGTTTGACACCAAAGCAATAAAAAGACCCACAAATGATCCAATTTGGTGGGTTATTTTGGGCTGTTTGACACCAAATTCAGTGTTAAAGCCTCCCGAGATGGTTCCTGGGGAAGAATTTGGGTGAGTGATTCCCCCCAAACCAGGACATGGCCATGTCGGCATTCACCATGACATCCGCTCTCGGCTCATGGTGAACGCCAGGACGATCCCCGGATCCCCCCAGGGATGGGATCCACGCCGTGTGTGTCCATGCCCCCCACTCCACAGTGACCTTACCCCCTCCGAGGACGCAGCTCTCCTGACACTCCCGCTCCGTCAGGAAGTTGTTGGCGTTCCCCTTGCAGCCGCCGAAGACGAAGCTTTGGCACAAACCACCAGTGATGTTGAACCACCACCGCGGCATCGAGGCCCGGCACTGTCCCACCGCCTTGGGCAGCGAGCAGAGCTCTGCCAGGAGGAAAAACAGAAAAAGACATTAACTGTCGCGACCAAAAACCCCATTTTCCCCAAATTTTGGGGGGACAGATGCAACCGCCAACCTGCCCCCCTGCATTGGGAAGGGATTTACTGGCTCGGCAGCCCGGCTCCGTTCCCAGCACGAGGCAGAGCCCAAGAGGCAAACTGTCCCCCCACAGAAAACATCCAGCAGCGCCCCCCAGCCTGCGCTGCTGGAAATAGGGCAGCGAGCAGTGCTCCAGGGCCACAGCGACGCCAAATCCGCTGGGATAATAAATAATAAACCAAGTAATAGTATTAAACTGACAATAAGAAACCAAATAATAGTAATAAACTGACAATAATAAACAAAATAATAAGAATAAGCTGAAAATAATAAACGAAGTAATAGTAATAAACTGACAATAATAAACCAAATAATAATAAACCAAGTAATAAGAATAAGCTGAAAACAATAAACCAAATAATAATAAACTAAATAATAATAAAAATTTGACAATAATAAATGAAATAATAAACCAAATACTGATAATAATAAATGAAATAATGATGATGATAAACCAAAGAACCAGAAACTTCCAGTTTTAGACAAAACCAAGCCTAAATCCCCAAATTCGGGCTTTACCGAAATCCCCCGTCACAAAACTGCCCCTTGGCCACTTCCCGGCTTTCCAGGAGATGGGGGGGGACACCCCAAATGGGATCACAGGGTGGGGGTACAGCCCCTGAGAGGCATGGGGAGGTTTTGGGGGGCCTCTTTGTGCTGTCCCCCCCAACTTAATACACCTCCTGGGGTCTGGGGGTGGTGGAGAAGAGCCAGTGGCACACGGATTTGCTGGTCTGGTGGCCACAGACGCTCCAGGTGCCGCAAAATTATCCAGCTGGGACCTGATTTCCAGCTGAAAGTGATGAAATATGTTTAAAAAAACCCCAAACAACCCAAAAAGCCACATTTTTGGCTCAGGAAAAGAAAATCCCAGCAGGATCAGAATCCAGCAGCTCAGGGAAAGACCCAAATTTCTTCCTCGTTAAGCCGCCGAGGTAATGAACTGGGTTTAAAAGTGCAAGTTGTTTCCTGTTTACAGAGAATTTGAGGGCAGCGACCAGGCGAACTTGCTCCCTCGAGGGCTCCCAGCCGCTCTCCAGGGTCGGTTGGGATAGCCGGGATCCAGATTTTTGCTGGGGGAAAAAAGCCGCTGCTCCATTCTGAGGGAGCGGGATGGATCCTGTGACTGCAGATGGGGTGGGGGAGGCTGAATCTGCCTCCCGCCAAGGTGGAGGGTGCTTTGAAGCGCTGTAAAAACCCCCCAAAAATCAACCCTGGGGTGTTGGGGAAGGCTCGGGCGGGATGTCCTCGAGACGAAGAGGAAGCTTGGAGCAGAGGGAATGGTGGCGTGGTGGTTTCGGGGGGGAGGGGTGTATGTGAAACCTCTTTTTGACCCCCCCAAACCTCGCCAGAGCCACTGGGGTGGCTCCCCCAAGCCCACTCCCCGTGAAGGGAAGGAACAATGAGCCATTTTCGGTTTAAAAATGACAAAAGAAGAAAAAGGAACAGAGGCTTTTCCTCTGGAGAAGTAGCAGCAGGGCCACCCTGACCAGAGACCCCCTTCCCCAAAGGGCCTGGACACCCCCAGGAGGATTTAGAGACCCCCCCATCAAGGCCATGACCCCCCAGAGTCCCCCCTCCAGGGACCCCAGGGTCATTCCGTGAGGCTGTGACCCCACTCAGGCCTTTCCCCTAAGGTCATGACCCCCCAAAAGGCCACAACCCAACACAACCTGCCCCCCGAGAGGGATTCCAAGACCCTCCCCTGATGCTGTGACCCCACAGGGCCCCCCCCCCCAAGGGCCCAGGATCAATCCCCAAGCCCACGACCCCACTCAAGATTCACCCTAGGCCTCTCTTCCAAAGGCCATAAGCCTTACAGAGGCCCCCAGAGCCCCCTCCCCCCCAAGTCTCCAGAGCCACCCCTCAAGGCTGTGAGCCCCCTCAAACCTTCCCTGTGACCACCCCAAAGGTCAGGACCCCCTCAGGGTCCTCATAGAGGCCCCCAGAGCCCGCCCCCAAGCCCACAGCCTGCCTGTCAGCAGCCTTCAGAGGGTTTCAGAGCCCCTCTCTCAAGGCTGTGACCCCCCCTCAAACCTTCCCCGTGCCCCCCTGAAGGTCAGGACCCCCTCAGGACCTTTACAGAGGTCCACAGAGCCCCCCTAAAGCCACAGCCTGCCCCCCAGGAGCCTTCAGAGCCACTCCCTCCCATGGGAGGGACCCCACCCCGAAAGTCAGGACCCCCTCAGGGTCCTCACAGAGACCCTCAGAGCCCCCCGAAGTCTCAAGAGCCCCTCCCTCGAGGCTGTGACCCCCCTCAAACCCTCCCTGGAACCTCCCCAAAGGTCAGGACCCCCTCAGG